ACCCCCGACCAGCACGCACCGCCCGGGCTGCCCCTGCCCCGCCGGACAGGGCGACCCCTTCCCCCGCTCAGGCACCTCCGAGGAGGCCCCTCTAGGCCCCCTCAGGACCCCGCCGCGTAGGCGCTGCTTAGCAACGGCCGCCTGAGCTTAGCGGCAGAAGGGGATACGTCGCGGCGCGCTTCCGCTTCCGGGTGAGGCGAGGCAAGATGGCGGCGGCCGGCGACTGTGCGGAGGAGGCAGCGGTGGACGGGTAGGTAACCATAGTGACTGCCCCCCCCCGCTCACGCTGCCTTGGCGGGGGGGGCAGGGATTCCCCCCCATCCCCCGCCGGGGTGGGGGGGCACGGCCCGTGCCTGGGTTCCCTCCAGCCCTCCTGGCAGCAGCAGGGCGCTGGGCCGCGGGGTAGTTGGGGGGGCCGGACGCGTCCCCGCGGCGCTGGGGCAGGGGCGGCCCGCACCTGTAACGCGCTTTCGGTCCCCAGGGCGCTGCCGTGCGAGGTGGAGGTGCTGGAGTCCATCTACCTGGACGAGCTGCAGGTGTCCAGGGGACGTAGCAGGTACTGGGAAGGGCCCCCGCTGTCACCTTCCTCCCCTGACCTGGCTCGTGCCTATGAGGGGCTGACGTGTCTGGCCCTGCCCTGGCGCCGCGAGTCCAGGTGGACGGGCGCTGCGGGTCCGCAATATGCCATTGCCCTTTGCCTGGGCATTTCCAGTGCCCCTGCCCCCGCACCCCCTTCAGTGGGGGTCTCCCCCCTGCGGGACTGGGACAGGTGCCTCGGGGGCTGCGCTGACCATGGCCCATGTCACCCTCTGGCCTCACCGGCACCTCCCTGCCCGCCAGGTCTGAGCCCTGGGAGATCTGCATCACCCTGCACCCAGCCACCGCTGAGGACCAGGACTCGCAGTATGTGTGCTTCACCCTCGGGCTCGCTGTGCCCCCGCAGGTAGGCCCGGGAGCCGGCCGCAGGGACGGGGTGGGTGCTGTGCCTCGCCACGGGCCTTGCTCACCCCCACTCGCTTGCTTCACAGTATCCCAACGAGGCACCGAAGATCTCCATCCGGAACCCACGGGGGCTGTCGGACGAGCAGATCCACAAGTGAGTGCTGGGGAGGGTGGCGCAGCTTGGGAGGAGGTGCCTGACTCTAGCTGGGGATCCATCTGCTCTGGTGCTGGGGCAGAGGCACAGATCTGCACTGGCTCTCGACAGGCAGCAGCAAGGGAGACCTGTATTTCCCATTCTGCCCCTGTCACGTAGGATCGCTCCTCTTCCTACTCTGTCTGCCATGGCGTGTGGGCACTGGGGAGCGAGACGGGCCTGAGCTCCAGAGTTGAGCTTCAGCAGGGCCGTTCCTACATCTGGCTCAGCTCTGCTGCTGGCCCGTCCAGCTGTTCCCGTAGCCATCTCCCTGCTATGCAGTTGGTGAATCTGTCCCCTCAGCGACTGTTTCTGCTTCTTCATTCCAGGATCTCCCAGACGCTGGGGCAGGTGGCGGAGGCCAGGTTGGGGACAGCTGTGCTGTATGAGCTGATCGAGGTAAGTGGTGGAGCCAAGGCCTGGCGTGGGGTGCTAGGGTAAGGCAGAGCCTGCCACATGCTTGCGTGAGCCCTTCCCATGGGCAGGGGAGGCCCGAGCTGAGGCTCTCCTGGGGGCTGCATGGTAAAGTGCTCGCTCTCTTCTCTCCCTCCACAGAAAGGGAAGGAGATTCTCACTGACAACAACATCCCTCACGGCCAGTGTGTGATCTGCCTCTACGGCTTCCAGGTAGCACCCCCGTGCACAGCGACAAGGCCTGTTGCCCTGGACTCCAAGATCCCGCAGCCCTGCCCTGCCCTGGGGAACGAAGGCTGGCGGTGCCTTGCTGCTGCCAGGGGGCCCAGTGCCCTGACAGAGCCCAGGCTGAGGCCATGCCCCCACTGCAGAGGGAGGGGAAACCCCCCAGGTTTTCCCCAGGGGGGAAATTCCTTCCTGTTGCCAATGCAGTGTGGAGCTGAGCCTGAGCACAAGGGCAAGAGCCTTTCCCCAAGACCCTGCGTGGCTGCCTTGTCACAGCCCCCAACCTGGCATCAGACCACAGGGTGGGAGCTGTAGGGGTCCGGGGCAGGCTGAGGGCAGGGAAGTCTGAGTGGGGTTTGAAGGGCTGGGAAGGAGAGCGTCTGGTTCCAAGTGGCTTGGGGGTGGGCTCTAGGGGCCACTGAAGTTCTACCCAATGCCTTGTCTGCCTGGCAGGAGCGAGAAGCATTCACAAAAACCCGCTGCTACCACTACTTCCACTCTCACTGCCTTGCCCGCTACGCCCAGCACATGGAGCAGGAGCTCCGCGCCCAGCAGGGCCAGCAGGAACCGCACCTGGCGCCCCTGCCTGAGCAGGTAACTGGCCCTGGCCCTGGCCCTGGCCCTGGCCCTGGTGCTGGCCACGACACCAACAGCAGACTTTGCCCTTGCCCAGCATGCCCAGGCCCCGTGAGCCCTGCCCAGCAGCTCCATGCCAGAGCTGTGGACTGGGTTTCATAGTTTCACAGTTAGGGTTGGAAGGGACCTGGGCAGATCATCAAGTCCGACCCCTTGCCATGGCAGGAAAGAGTAGCGTCCAACGACCCCAGTAAGGTGATTGTCAAGCTTTGTCTTAAAGACCCCCAGTGTAAAAGCTAGCACCACTTCGCTTGGAAGTTGGTTCCAGATCCTAGCCGCCCTGACAGTGAAGTAGCGCCTCCTGATGTCTAGTCTGAATCTCTCCTCTGCCAGCTTGTGACTGTAATTTCTAGTCACTCCTGGTCACTCAGGGGAACAGGGACTCCCTCAATGCCTGCTGGTCCCCTCTGACTAGTTTATAACAGGCCACTAGGTCCCCCCTCAGCCTTCTCTTGTAGAGGCTGAACAGGTTCAGGTCCCGTA